GTAGCATTCTTAAGCCACAGAGTGTGATGGGCGTTAAAGTCTCCAAACACAAAAATGTGAGCAAACGGGTGGAGGGAGAGAGCCTTGTTTATGTTGTCAGAAATGCTATCAAGTATCTCACAGTCTTGAGAGGATGGAGATCGGTAAAGGAAGAAGAAATAGCTTACCGCATTGAGGAGAGAGAGAGAGTCGGAGACACATGTATGACTGGTCAGGCGATTCGAGAGAGGACTCTCTGTCCAGAGGGAGATGTTCCTTGACGTAGACACCAAGACCGTGCACGTGGGTTAGAGAGTCTTTTCTGAGGAGAGGAAGATAGTCAGGGATCGAGAGATCAGAAGAGGGGATAGATGAGACAAGGTTTGTCTCACAGAGAGCCAGTACATCCGGGCCGTTTGCAGTGAGGAAAGATTCCAGACTGTAGAAGTTTGTCCTAATGCCCCGGATGTTGGAGAACGAAATGTTGAGGGGTTTAGGTGGTTTCTGAGAGGCCGGTTTAGGGTTAATCTTTCGGTTTTTGTAACTCATGTTGAATTTTGTTTGTAAGATGAAAAGGCCCGAAGTAAAAGAAACAGACAGTTTCGACCGTGACGCGAGCAGAGAGGATTTGGCAAAATCTGCATCATTATGTGGCCTCAGGGCTGCCCACCGGAGGTGACTGCAGGGACACCTTTCCATGCGCGACATGGCACTACAAACACCCCGGTATTATACAACTGTTGATCAGAGCAGCCGCTCAAGACGCTACGCAAGAGTTAGGGCTTCTAACTACCAGTCGGAAACAGCAACCAGAGAACTGTCAACCGTGTACCCTCAGAATGAAGAGGTGATGCCACAGACTGCACACATCACGGGAGAAACAGAGCTGTACTAATACAGAGGCCGGAGAGAGAAACAGTACCGGGAACCCCTTCCTAGACAAGAAACAAGGTGTAGGCCTCTACTCATGTCCAGAAGAAGGGGGAGGTGTGTTGACTGGGCGGTAGAAGAGACTACTTACTCCTATTACAGATAACACAAAAAAGGACGACACAAAACAGAGGGAAGGATTGGAGGGGGAGATAACAGGTAAGGAGTCCTGGATCACACTTGGCTATATCCTATCACATTAAGTTTTAACTTAGTATGAGTCCCATTGTCTATTCTAAAAAGAAATTGAAAATACGGTTACCCCGATTTATTATCGCATCTAGTCAAAGACATTCAATTTTCCATTTTTCCCGTTTTTTCTTTTTTTTTAAAAATTTTCGGACCGGGATTTCTTACTAAACTATCAAATAAGGAGAATCACTGGGACAAAATGCTTTTGAGTGTGTGGGGGGAATAGAAAAATTTAAAAACGAAAAGAACAAAAAAAAAAAAAAAATGAAAAATGTAAATGCTTTCTGCTAGAGCGAAACGATACTCACATGGGCCAACAAGTGGGTGACTGTCTACATCGTCATGATGATGGTGACTGAATATACGGCTTACCTTATGTCCAAGCGTCGACCTGGTTGGGGTTGGGGAGGAATCATCGGCCAATCCTCAGCCCTCACCAAATACTGGGCTTGGGAGATATGCTTTCAATAAGATTTGGAAAGAGGAGATAGAAGCGGCTAAAACAATTCCACTTTCAGACAATATATCAAGCAAAAAGATACTGTCACAACATCGTTAGAATACTGACGAGACACCCTCGCATCTAGTCAAAGACATTCAATTTTCCATTTTTAGTAGACATTGTTAATAATATTGACTATTACATTTGTTTTGTAGCTACTTACATAAGAACTTAAACATTAAGTGTTCTTCATCAATGAGGCCACAGGAAATCATCTTTCTTGACCTTTCTGTTTGTTGACATTAATTTCACTGTTAAAAAACCAGTGACGTATCATCAAAGATGTGTCCCACCCCCACAAAGAAATAATTTTTATAGTAAAAAGAAATAATGTCAGATTAAAAAATCTATTAATTGCTTAAAAAGTGTGTCTATGTGTGATATAATCTTTCAGCTTAAATCTCCTTATAGTTTCTATAATAAATTAGTAGAAAACATGTGAATTAGTGAATATCTGCTCTTGTATAATGTTACACTATCACTGAACACACCTGGAGCTTTCACCAATTATTATGGCTGCGTATTCTATCAAGGATGCCCCTTACCTTGAACATCTACTGTGACTCAAGTTCACCCCAGATCACATGGCATAGAACCAATTGCTGTTGTTCCCAGGTTCACCCCCAGGATCAATATCCTCTCTACTATAATGTTTCAAAACAAACCTTTGTTCCCAACATCTACTGGTTCACCCACAATCCATCACATGGATCAATATCCCTCTCTACTATAATGTTTCATTATCACTAAACAAACCTTGAACCTTCACCAATTATAATGGCTTTCTTCTCTCTTACCTTGAATCAGATCTACCATACAACCAATGTTGTTCCAAGGTTCACCCACACCCAGGATCAATATCCTCTCTACTATAATGTTTCACTTCACTGAACTAACCTTGAACCTTCACCAATTATAATGGCTCAAGCAGGCTCTTTACCTGAACATCTACTGTGATTCAAGTTCAATCCAGATCACATGGCATAGAATCAATTGCTGTTGTTCCCAGGTTCACCCACACCCAGGATCAATATCCTCTCTACTATAATGTTTCACTATCACTGAACAAACCTTGAACCTTCACCAATTATAATGGCAGGGTGTTCTCTCTTACCTTGAACATCTACTGTGACTCAAGTTCAATCCAGATCACATGGTATAGAACCAATTGCTGTTGTTCCCAGGTTCACCCATACACAGGATCAATATCGTCTCTACTATAATGTTTCACTATCACTGAACAAACCTTGAACCTTCACCAATTATAATGGCAGGATGTTATCTCTTACCTTGAACATCTACTGTGACTCATGTTCAATCCAGATCACATGGTATAGAACCAATTGCTGTTGTTCCCAGGTTCACCCACACCCAGGATCAATATCCTCTCTACTCTAATGTTTCATTATCACTGAACAAACCTTGAACCTTCACCAATTATAATGGCTGGGTGTTCTCTCTTACCTTGAACATCTACTGCGACTCAAGTTCAATCCAGATCACATGGCATACAACCAATTGCTGTTGTTCCCAGGTTCACCCACACCCAGGATCAATATCGTCTCTACTATAATGTTTCACTATCACTGAACTAACCCTTTATAATGAACCTTCATCTACTGTGACAATTATAATGGCTAGGGCTGTTCATTCACCCAAGGATCAATATCCTCTCAACTATAATGCTCCCATCACTGAACAAACCTTGACCCTTCACATCTAATGGCAGGTGTTCTCTCTTACTTGAACATCTACTGACTCAAGTTCAATCCAGATCACATGGTATAGAACCAATTGCTGTTGTTCCCAGGTTCACCCATACACAGGATCAATATCCTCTCTACTATAATATTTCACCATCACTGAACAAACTTTGAACCTTCACCAATTATAATGGATCAATATCGTCTCTACTATAATGTTTCACTATCACTCTGAACAAACCAAACTTTGAACCTTCACCAATTATAATGGCAGGATGTTATCTCTTAACCTTGAACATCTACTGTGACTCATGTTCAATCCAGATCACATGGTATAGAACCAATTTTTTATAGCTGTTGTTCCCAAATACCAACAATACATAATATAGGTTCACCACACCAGACAAATCCAACAATATCCTCTACTACATTTTCTAATGTTTCATTATCAAATACTGAACAAACCTTTTAACCTTCACCAATTATAATGGCTTTTATAGTGTTCTCTCTTTTTACAAATACCTTGAACATCTACCAGCAATACTGCGACTCAAGTTCAATCCAGATCACATGGCATACAACCAATTGCTGTTGTTCCCAGGTTCACCCAATACACCCAGGATCAATATCGTCTCTACTACTATGTTTCACTTAGTTGACGTAAGTGTGTCTGTTAGGGTTAGGAATTATGTCGGCGGTGTAATGGCTAACAACTCGGAATGAGGGAGAAAGTTCGAATCCTAGTTGGGTTTGTTAGATTCATTTAAGCTGAAATACCAGAGGGAAGGGGCGTATAAATGCATCTCTTCTACCCCTATCTATGTGTTAAGTAGCAGGATTGACTGGGCCCTATAGCCTTGGTAGGCAACCGATCTCCCGCAGAAAGAAACGGCAACTTGCCGCGACAAATCTTCTATCTCGTCAGTCATGAAACATTGTTTTTTTGATTGATTTCTTTTCTACGGCTTATCAACCATTTTCAGGTTATTTAAAGCCAGGAAACATTTTTAGATTGTAAGAATTTTTGCAGGAAAATTAATTTTTAACTAACCCAAAGCTGGAGAGAGAAGAGAGGGATTCGTACCTTTTCAAAAATATTTGTGCGTAAGTGACTATAACGCACCCAGCTGGAATTGAAACACGGCTCTCCGATTAACAATTCCGAGATACTATCCATTACACCACCCGCACTTCCAAGCTTATAGCAACTGGTATTCCAAAGCGGTCACCAAGCTCGACGTTGCTTAACTTCAGTGACCATACGGGAAACGGTGTTTCAACGTGATGTGACTGTTACTACCCGCGCATCCAAGCTTACAGCACCTGAAAGTTTCAAGTGGTCACCCATCTAAGTACTGACTAGGCCCGACGTTGCTTAACTTCAATGATGGAAAATGAGACATAGGTTGTTAAAATTAGATCCAATGAAAAAGAAAAGTGTAAAGTGAAGGTTAAGCTTCCCCCCCATCCTCCAACACCCATTTCCTTACTCTCAAGCCACCCAAACAACGATTGCTCTGGTGAATCCCTACCCAACCTCTGTCACCACCTACACGTCAAAATTTATCTATCAGGAAAATTTGATGATTCTTGTGTGTTTCTGAGATAAGCACGTGTCCTCTTCTCAGGCTGATCTTATTATTTAAGGCCCCGAAATCCGTTAGTGGGAGTCACTTTTAACCTGTCTCTTAACCATGTCTCTTTTAGCTTTGTTCGCAACTCTCACACTCATAGCGTGTTCCGCGGCCAGCAAATTTTGCTGTGTCCCCGAAAAATACAGCGCCGAAACTCTGGTCAAAACCTACAGAGAAGGACTTTTCTACCAGGTAAGAACATTTGCAATGACATTTGCAGTGCCACTTAGCTTAATAGCCAACGACATAAAAATGTTTCCATGACGAAATTAATTATTCCTCGTAACCCGTGATTTTTTTTCAGTTATAAAATTTTCATAAGGTAGTTTTCATTCAAAATACAAATTTTATTGTAACCTAATTATGTAGAATAATGGATCATATGCAATATAGGTGAACACTTCAAGTAGATAAATTGAAAATAAATACAATATATCTATCTGTTTATATTTCTGAGATGAGGTATTATGTACACTATTTACATTATTCGGACTATTGTCCTCATCTTTGTCGCCATATTTATTACAACGTTTCTTTTTTTGGGATCAGGTTGAGGTCATAGACAAAGAACACCATTGAAAAATTCAACTTAAATAATCAGCACATATGCTAGACCACATAAATCTCCTGAGCCGACCAAGCATAGAAATGAATTCAATACGGGAATCAGTAATAAGAAGTGCCATTAAAAAGCGATAATAACAACAAAAATTGAAATATGAGCTCTAATAAAAAAAGAAAAAAGAAAAAACAAACATGCAATGATAACACCAAACATTTCAATATGAACACTGGTAAAAATGGTTGCTGAAGACATTAGGTTTATAATACCCAGAAATTCATACCCAGATGTCCTCAAGGACACATGGCACAGTGGATAAAGGCGTTGGTTAGATCCAGTGACAGGACCCAAAGAGTGTGAGTTCAATACTCGGTCAAGGCAGTGGAATACTTGGAGAACAGGAGATAGCTGACATCCATTAGACATGGCACGTGGAACTAGAACAGTCTACACCAGTGAGTGAAATAAAGGGTTCAGTTTGACATTCCAAGAAGGAACGGCCGAAACGTTGTAATAAATATGGCGACAAAGATGAGTACAATAGTCCGAATAATGTAAATAGTCTACAATATTTCTAAAGACATGTCATGATTAGATCATTCCATCTTGAAATATATCATCAATGTTTTGTGGCAATTTTTAATATCAACTTGAGATTTTTCTTGTTAAAAAGTCGAATAATTTTAACGCATTCGACATCATGGATAAAAGTAGTAAATTTTCTATCGTGTTTTTTCGAGACTTAGCAAGAGCAGAACAAATTCATGGATTTCGACAACCGTCACCTCCCCCCAGAATCTATGAAAATTTTTCCTACTTTAATAATCAGTTGTGCATAGTTTAATTTGTAACGTATATAAACGTACGCCCTCACGTACGCTTGGAAACACCTGGTACTGTAAGCCCCCAAAGTCCAACCCTTACCTCACAGTCGGTGGGGGGGGTGTAAACGGTAGTGTCAGAGCTATGCCGCCCGGAACTTCGTTCCTGGTAGGGCCACCCAAGGCGGACAGGTCTGACACACACGCCGGCTAACAAGGGCTCTGGTGAAAATCCAAGGAGCGTCTGCATCGGTAACCGGCAGCTTCTGGTCGTTCCTGTCTCTGCGTCTGTGGGAACCCCGCGGCAAGCAAGAACGTTAGCCGAGTAGGCCTGGGTACCCTACTTCTGTAATTTATCCCAAGAATCTTCTTCTCATAACAGGAAGAAGCCGGCTCAATCCGCCCAGGGTGAATGCCGCCTCAGTACAGTACAGTAAACGTACGCCCTCAATCAAGGTTTGCACCCCCGGTCATGAGTTCGGGGGTTTGTACACGCTGGCCTGATTGTAATTAGAAGTATATAATATGAAAGAAAGAAAAAAAAAAACTTTATTAACGAGGAAGAATAATAAAAGAACAGGAATTAAGAAGAGAAAACATAACAATTGATACTGCATTTAAATTTCTAAAGCTCAAAGTTGACTGGAAAGTAAGAAGCTGGAAGAAAGTTCCACAAATGAGAAGTGTAATAGAAGAATATATTAGCATAGAACTTACGGTTACATCTAGCCGTTTCAGCTATAAAATGATGAGACCTTACCGCCAATCTAGTACATCGCTTAAATTAATAAAATCTAGCTACCATAAAGAAAAATGATATTTATTTGTTTTATGATACAAAATGTGGCACAAGGCCAAAAGGGGGAACAGAGAAAAGGACGCTCTTCATCAGTCGTAACATTAAACTTAGCTAGCCACAAGCACTGACCCAAGCATACCACAATATTCCTAGCACCAAAACAACGCATTCTTACGACATCCACCATAATACCTCATTGTCTCTTTGAAATTCCTAACTAATCCCCATATGTACAATTCATTGTCTTTGGTAGGAGGGGAATAAGATAATAAAGGAAAGGTCATTAGAACAGTTACTATGAAATTATTTATAGAAAAGGCGCAGCGAAAGCTATGTTACGACAGAGTGAAACCGAGATGCCAGGTCAGGACTAATAGCGTTGCAGATGTTAACTTGAAGATGTTAAGATCGTAGTGTTCAGGAGTCTGATCCACATAGAAACAGTTCTTGGGGAGAAGCTATCCGAACGGAACTTCCTCCTTACCATTCGAATATTAGGGGAATTAGGACGAGTGTGTGTGGCGTGGCGCCTCATTGCTGTGAAAGTCTCAACTAGTAAAACGCAGGAATGTAGTTCGTCTGGACATTTGTCATGAAAATAACGATAGACAAGCGAGGGGTAAGCCACATTTCGTCTGTGGGACTTCAAGGTATAAGACGAAGGAGGCTGGTGATTGAAGCGAGCAAAACATTACGCTTAAAAAAAAAATTAATGAACTCTCCGACCGACTGGTTTAAATTCTTGCGAAATCGCGTCCTCTTCATTTCTAATCTGCCATATGTTTTTTTGTCTTTCTCACAGGGAAAGGGCGAGGTTTATTATGACTACGCAGCCGGTATACATGCTTCATTTATCAACATCACAGTTGATGCAAGTAAGGGAATCTATTCGCTTGTGAGCACGCATTACGACGTCAACTCGGTAAGTTGAAGACATCCCTTTTCTTCTCTCATTCTACTCGTATCTATCTATCTATCTATCTATCTATCTATCTATCTATCTATCTTATTCTGTTCATATCTATCTCTCTACCTCTCTCTATCTCATTCTGTTCATATCTAGGTCTACTCATTATCTATCTATCTATCTATCTATCTATCTATCTATCTATCTATCTCTATCTATCTTGAATCTGGCATCCTATCTCATTATGTTCTCTCTATCGAGCTATCTAAACGTTATGTTCATCTATCTCTATCTATCTATCTATCTATCTATCTCTTATTCTGTTCATCTATCTCTCTATCTCATTCTGTTCATATCTAAGTCTATCTCTATCTATCTATCTATCTATCTATCTATCTATCTATCTATTCTATTCTATCTATCTATCTATCTATCTAATTCTGGTCATCTATCTATCTATCTATCTATCTATCTATCTATCTATCTATCTATCTTATTCTGTTCATATCTATCTATCTCTCTATCTCATTCTGTTCATATCTAAGTCTATCAATATCTATCTATCTATCTATCTATCTATCTATCTATCTATCTATCTATCTATCTAATTCTGTTCAATATGAATTTAACTGATAAATTGATACTTGGATATGAATAGTAATAATGGTATAATAATATTATAATAATTAAATAATGTGTATTTATATGTATATTTATATTTATCTTGATGCATTTTATATTCTAACATACGTCTTTCTGTTTTATATTTCTTAATTTACTTGATAAAAAGAATTTATTCATTTATGTATATATATTTATTTTTTATGTTTTGTATATGCATGCTTATATTTGTATATATATCTATATGTAGGTATGTCTTTATATATGCATATATATGTATATATGTGCGTATGTTTATATATTTGTATATTCATTTTCTATGTTTGTGCAATTTTGACGGGTCGTCTGCGTTGTCTCTGTAGTTATTTGGCTGATTGAATCTTGATGAGTCTGTTTATTTGTCGTTCATATATTTGCGTGCTCATATATTCAATCATATTTACGTGTGTGTGTATTATGACGTCATGTCTGTCTGTCTTGTCACCAGTAAATCTTTCTCCCTTGTCCACTAAAATCTCTAATCACAACCCTGTCAATGTAACTAATTTTGTAGTATTTTACTTCTGCTCAGATTCGAACGGAAAACTTAACATATTACTAAGAACAATACATGAAAATTTAGGCATATTTTCTCCGTTTTTATCTTTGAATAATTTTGTAAGTTTCTAAACTTGATGAATGGTTATATTTAGAGTTTAATATTCGTAACTTTTATTTTTTTTAATTACATGATAAATTGAGATTAATTAGTTATCCTGATTTTCTATATAATCTAATATTAATTTTAAAGCCTTAATAAATTGTATCTAGAGTCCGTTGTCGCGTTTTTTGAATTATCATATCAATGTAATTTGATTGGCCATTAAATCGTACGTAAAAACATTACCTTTAGTGGGGGTCGTGGTTGGTTTTGAACTCTTTAAAAAAAATTATTTTACAATCAACTCCATCACTTGACAAGACACTAGAAGTGTTGAAACAAAATAAATATATTTGTAATGATGTTATAGCATACTTAATTTCTAATAAATATTATCTATCTATCTATCTATCTATCTATCTATCTATCTATCTATCTGTATATATATATATATGTATATATATATATGTATATATATATATATGTATATGTATATATACATATATGTGTATATATATATATATGTATATATATATATGTATATATATATATGTATGTATACGCACACACACACACAATATAGACAGATATTTTTATAATAACTTTGTAGAAATTTGCTCGATCATTCAGGCCAATCGTTGTCGAGTTGGTCTAAACCAGGTCAAATCTAACAACAGTTTCTTTTGCTATGAGGGACGCAGGATCGAATCCTGCCGGAGAGCACATCCTTTCTTCAATAAAATTTCTCGAATATTCAGACCGGTAGACGAAATTAAATACTGTTTAATAAATAATCGGAGCGTCTATTTAAATATGAGTATCCTTAGAAAATAACGCGAGAAAAACCTATTTATCATGAAAAGGTAAATTCCAACTTAAATAACATTTACACACGAAAACAATTTTTGTAAAAGTATAAATAAGTTGCATTTTAAAATTTCGATGAAATCTTGAATCTAGTTTTCAATAAAGAAAGATTTACCCTTCAACACATTTTGCAAAAAAATGTGATGATGGGTTAGTGTCAGATGAGGTGAATATGGCGACTAGAGTAGAAGAGAGCAAACAAGTTTCTTTTCTTGTGTCATTTTTTTCTGTATGCGGGCTTGTGTCGTCTTAGAGGACGACCTTTTTCGATTCATGAGTGCAGGCCACTTTTCGACCAAACTTGCATGGACAAGTTGCAGCTGCTGGGCGTATAAACGTGCATTTAATGTTTTATTGCGTTTTAAAAACTCTTATGCATAATACCCCAACGATCAGTCGACTTGCACAACATTATCTTTCTTCTATGAAGCTCAGCATTTGGAGGTGGCTGTGGAGATTGTTAATCCTGTGCCGTTTGCGTTGAGCATTGTTGTATGCTACCCAGTTTTCATCACCTCTTGTGATGATATAGTTAAGAAAATATGTGCTAGGATGATACATTTGTCATTGCAGTTGTTTTCCCTAAAACAGAAAAACAAAGCCATAGCTTAAAAACTCGAATCATGTTCTTAAACAGCCTCGTCAGATCGAAACTGTATTTCTTGCATGGTGCCAAACTAGCTCAGAAATATATAAACGGTCATTTGTAAACAACTAGTTTCTCAGATTAATGATGAAAGTGAATGAAGATTGTCGGTTTTAGCGAGGAGCATCTTTTGAATCTCGTGGACTGTCGTTACGGAATCACTAACAATGAACTGTACCAAATAACAGAAACTACATCACATGGGGACTTTCAAAAGTCGCAACAACTAAAATGGATAGCATAAGTAACTCAAAGAGATAATTATAACATAAGATACTAACATTCCACACTACTTTGAAAAATATATTCGGAAGGAAACTCTTATCACTACTAAAAAGAGTGATAATGGATTTGAGGCACCCATTTCACTGAAAAATTTGTTTTTTTTTTTAAGAGAAAGATTTGATACATACCAACTGAATGCAGTACTGGCTGCTTGGTCAACAAACACCGAATGTTTCCTTATTAGGAAACTGTTATTATTACCATTAGAATTAGAGAAAGGGGGAAAAGACACTACCTTTGTTATTTATTCGTCCCTGCCACTCACGGTGACGGCATATGGCATAAGTCCATTTTACTGTGAGAAGCCCAAGAGCGTGCGCCTGGGCTAAGGCCCCAAGTTACCCGGTTACCGAAATCAACGTTGTGTTGGTGTCGATATTCCACCGAACCCACTTTTGAGGGAGGTGTTGTCGCAGGATTAGAATCCCCGGGACCAGGCATCCCTCATTTGTTTGTTGGGTCCTGTCCGAAGACAGAAAAACAATTAAGGGATAAAATGCACTTTGTTCGCCTGAAGGCCGACACTACACTTTGATCCCAGCAATGAGGGAGGTGCTGCCGTAGAGTTGGAATCCCAAGGACCAGGCATTCCTCATTTATTTGTTGGGTTCTGCTCGGAGATAAAAACACAATTAAGAGATAAAATGTAGATTGTTCGCCCTAAGGCAGATACACTTTGATCACATCAATGAGGGAGGTGTTGCCGTAAAGGTTGGAATCCCATGGACCAGGTATTACGGTATTTACTCGATCCCCCCATTAGGACGGCATGTGACACAAGGTCTTTTTAAAGTGGAGACCCGAGCGCGTACACCCGGGCAAGGGACAAAAATTGCCCACAGCCCCCGCAACCGTTGAGCTGGCCTCGGTGCGAGCACCGATCCCTCTCTCTGGTGCAATGGGAGGGTGTGGCCTTGGGCAGCTGTTCCCCAGGGATGGGCACCTCTTCAGTATTATTTTCTCAGTTGTCCCTCTGTCCTTTGACAAAGAAACCCCTGGGCGCACTCTGCCCAAAGACAGAGACGCAACTGAGAGATGATAAGCCATGCGTTAGAAATCCATCCAAGGAGGAATTTTTACGCTATTAGATTAGGTTACAAGTCTTTGCTCGTCGTCTCAGATTCATTTATGCTAGTGCATATAAAAGATACTTGTAAGAGATTAGGTAGATTTGCATACAACCACATTGATCGAAGATCCAACGAGGAGAAATAACCGAATTTTTACGAAAACTTTTTATTTCAGGGAATGGTTTACACGATGTCTGGCGGATATTGCAGCAAAGAAAAATTGGACGAATCTTGGCTGAAAGAGACGGACCAACCTCATTGCATCTCAAGTCAGTATTAGTTGAGTCGAAATCTATCTATCTATCTATCTATCTATCTATCTATCTATCTATCTATCTATCTATCTATCTCATTCTGTCTCATTCTGTTCAGATCTATCTATCTATCTATCTATCTATCTATCTATCTATCTATCTATCTATCTATCTATCTCAGTCTGTCTCATTCTGTCTGATTTCTATCTATCTATCTATCTATCTATCTATCTATCTCAGTCTGTTTCTCTATCTATCTATCTATCTATCTATCTATCTATCTATCTATCTATCTATCTATCTATCTGTTTTCTCTTTCAGAAATTGCTGTCCTCGATTCTACCTTTGCTGTTGGCGGACCCCATGAAGATGTTGAAATGCGACGCTACATCCAACCGGTGAAAAATGGCCAGAGACAAATCATCGTCACCGACCATCATTGCTATCCCGTGCAGGAAATTTACGCCACTGTAAATAGTACCCACAGTGGAATCCACGGTAGGTAAACATGTCAAATACAATGCGCTTCCAATTTGGGAAATACGTACAAGTTCTGTTCGGAAAATATCCAGCCAAATATGCGCGCCATTTATGTAATTTAGTAACCAGTCCGAGGAGACTTAACTGCTTAGGTTAATCAGTACGCAGAAATATGCTTGTGGTCTGTGTGATCGTCACATTCACATTGTTTGAGCAAACAGATAATTTCTTTATTTATTTTTCTTTATTTCTTTATTATTTTTCTAATCTCTAGCCTGACATGACCAGGACTATGTCCAATACTTAAAAACCATCTGATTCGGGCATTGAAGCAGCCATCAATGCTCACAGTGGATGATAAATGAATTCTCAAGATTATTTGTGCCACTTTGTTTTCAAATTAAACTTCTATTTCATGAGCTACGCGTCCTTTTCTAAATTCATGCAAATGTCCGTCAAATTACATACACGATGGATATAAGTGAATTGCACAACAGTTATTGGCGTAATAGATACAATTTGGGTTCAATTTTCGAACTTCAAATCTTAGAGGTGGCGCGTTTTAAATTTTAGGTAACGCCCTCTCTAAAAAGATTGAATCCCATGCACTAATGGGTTTAATAGGTTCAGCTATTCTAGAAACATTTGCCGTAAACATTTTTACCGTAAGAAAACTTGCTTCAAGAATTTACGCCGTATAAAACTTTGCCGTATAGGATTTTTGCCATAAGACAATTTCGTCGCATATTTTCTTATATTGCGAAGTGCCTTGTTATCAAGTCTATCTGGCAAACTACAACAGCATAGAAAGTTTCCAAAATGCAGTACAGTTGCATGACTAACTTAAATTTGTGGAAACGAATTGTGTATTTGAAAAAGGAAGAGACATTAGCAAAAAAGAAAAATTCAGATTTAGATCGAAGAGATGCCGTACAAATGAAGAAAAAAAAAATTTTGATAGCAATGCAAGACTTCAACAGAAAATGCTTCATTACAGTTCAAAACACATTATTTACGAAGCATTGCTTGGAATTTGCCCACATTTTAAATTATTTTTTTGTTAATTTTATATATTTTTAGTCTTTTATTTTTTAAATAAATGTCTACTTTTTTAATTCATTTTCTAATGTTTGGTCCTATAAAAAAGACCTCCTCATATACTTGATAACAAGGTTCTTCGCATATTAAATTGAACATTACTCCAAAAGGGCTGTTCAAGATAAGGGTATCAAAAAAAAAAAAAAATGTGTCGAAATTGTCTTACGGCAAAAATCCTATACGGCGAAGTTTCCTTCGGGGAAATTTCCCGAGGCGAAGTTTTCTACGGCAAAAACGGTTACGGCGAATGTTCCGGACCTGATACGAGGTTCAACGTTCTCGCTAGTAGTAGGAGTTAACTAAACCAAAGAAGGCATGAAACTTACTAATTATTAAATCCACATGGTGGCCTCAAAGTTTTCTCCTTTGTGTATGTATATATAAAATTATATATATATATATATATGTATATAAATTATTATTGTGTTTCTCTTATTCCCTCTGCCAGTGTTGGATTCTACCATGGTCACTGTCGCCAATTTAAAACTTTCTGTGGATGACCCATCTGTTTTTACTTTACCTGCTATGTGTGACAAATCTAGTTTTTCAACGGTAAGTGATTTTTTGAATCGTATTCCTTTTCATGATCTAAAGATAAATACCAAGTTTGGCACAAGGCTATATCCATAGAGCATCCGGTAAGCAACTAAGTCACACTGGCTAATACTCTTTTTCGTGCTGTACTGTTGTGGTAAGAACGAGTTATCTTACTATCACGAATGGATTGATCTATATTCATGATAAGTAGTCCTGGGTAATTGTCTAGGAGGAAGAAGATAATACTATTACAGTGACTTGTCTAGCTTAGTGCTGAATACTGCTATCACGACTGACTCGGTTGAGTTAAGTGTTGTGTCTTACCAGACCCCATATCACAACAATGCTGAAAATCCAAATATTTTCATTGAAACACATTTACTTTAATATCTACAATTTGTCATATTCTTAGTATTGTTCTCTAAGTATGATTTTATCTTGCGAATGAAATATTTGTTCAAATTCCAAGGCATCTATGCAGTAACAAAACAAGACTTCCGTTTTATGTCTATGTCTTTCTATATATCTGTCTATATCTCTGAAATGAGGTATTATGATTACTTGCATTATTTACATTATTTGGACTGTTATCCTCATCTTCATTGCCATATTCACAACGTTTTGGCCATCATATGCTCCGACCTTTATGTCTATGTCTCTCTATATATCTGTCTATATCTCCGAGATGAGGTATTATGATTACTTGCATTATCTACATTACTTGGACTGTTATCCTCATCTTTATTGCCATATTCATGTTTCGGCTGTTGTATGCTCTGGCCTTCTTCAGGTGATTGGAATTTCGAACTGAACCCTTTATTTCGTCTATCAGGATAGATGATCCTCAAAGAGTTGAGTTAAAGGGAAATAACTGAGATACCTGGAAGAGGCATGGCACGTATAACTAGAACAATCTACCCCAGTGAACGAAATAAAGGGTTTGATTTGAAATTGCAATCACCTGTTTAAGGCCAAAGCATACAACAGCTGAAACATTGTGAATATGGCAATAAAGATGAATATAACTATTCTAATAATGTAAATAATAAATGTGACTGTTGTGGTACGAGCCAGTTACCCTCCTCACTATTATGAATGGACTGATCCATTCATGATAAGTAGTCCTGGGTAATTGTCTAGGAGGAAGAAGGTAATACTATTATAGTGACTTGTCTAGCTGAGTACTGAATACTACTATCACGACTGACTCGGTCGAGTTAAGTGTTGCGCCTTGCCAGACCCCACATATACATTCGTAACATCTTTGAAAAGAAATCGAATTCAGACTTTGTTCCTATTTTTTTTTTTTTGATGACCCAGGAATGTCTTGGTGGCAATCACAATTTTTTGTGTGATTTATTTTTATTCCTCGCCGTGGAGCAACGGTTAACAAGTGGCTCTCATTACTAATACAACGAGTTATTGGGTGCTCTATATTTGTGGTCTTGTGCCAGACTTAACTAATCTTACTGAATAAGGGTATGTGTTTTTGTTTTGGCCAACGATTTCTTCTTTTGAGAAATTGTTGATTATCAAAAAAAAATTCTCTTGAAAACAATTTTCGAGGATTCTTTGAAAGAATTCCAATGATCCATTTCATGTCTAAACTATTTTAATAACTGATAATTCTATTTTAACCACTGATAATTCTAATTTCGCCACTAATAATATTATTTTAATTATTGAGTGTTCAATTTGATAAATATTAATTTTTTCAACAAGATACGTGTTTAAAAAATTGATAATTGATAAAGGAGATATTTATGCTGCAAAGCTTTCTCCAAAACCTTCCATTAAATACAAAATCGAATTTAATATCTTCATAAATATCTTGAATATCTTGTTCTTAAAACACAATCGATTGGTTTGGTTGTTTTACTTATGTTGTAACCTAGAGAAGGTTACTGAATAGAATAATCAAACAAAGGTTCGTAATGAACGATAATACTTAGGACAAGAACAACACATATAAGATTCGCCAGCGGCGTGTAGAAGTAGTAGTCGACTGCAAAAAGTGAGTCCAGTGAATTCCACTATGAATCTCCATCTGCAGGATATGTACCAACCGCCCTACGCGGTCAAATGTGGCACAGGGCCGAATTTAATGTGGGGTATCCGAGTATAGACTCGGCCAAAAATTTCCCTTAGACCCCGTATAAAACGGGCTCGGGTAGTTGTTTCCCGAGCCGAGACTCTGCCTTTCGACATAGCCTCGTCTGGGGATCATCTCTGTCCGGAGGCAGAGAGTTTGACTGGCACAGCTAGAGACGAATCTCCAACTGCAGACCAACATACAGTATTTACTACTGTATTTATGTGAATGGGACATACCCATTATCGTCTGCAGGTATGTTACAACAGTTTAGCAGCATATCAACACCTCTATGAGTTATTTAATGCCGAAATCTAAAAATTAAATTTTAAACTGTATAATTAATTCAAGAGAGCGACATTATTTCACGATAAAATCAGAATTAATTCACTGCGTTTTTTTTACCAAATGATCTTAAAAAAATCAAACTTGTTTCTCCCTACAAGAAATGAAAATAATAATAGCAAATTGTTTTTTTTTTGACAATGTATGTCATGTCTTCAATTTTACTATAAAATATATTGTTGATAGTTTCACTACAAAAATGCATTGCTTGTATTTTTACCATAAAAATGTATTTTTTATAATTTCCTATTTTTAAAATTTTTTAGTTTTGGGTTTCATTATTTGCCCATAACTGTGACCCTAACAGGTGCTACCACCCAGGTCAGAGTGAACCTGGGAACAACAGCATTTAAGAGGTGGTTCAACACTGTACAAAACCTCCAATTTCCTGTTCAGATGCCTTGCTGCCATATATTGACATTCCCCAGACGCATACCCAATAGAATTGTTTTTAAAATTAAACCTTTTCAATATTTTTAAAGAGACTTTTGCTACACCATGGATTAGAAATCCTTTAGGTAAACAAGTTGAATATTTTCCATTGATGCTACAGGTCGGCAAGTAACAGCCACAAAAAATAAATACCCCCCCACCCCAAAAAAAACGGTATTTGCATAGTGATTCTCAAGCTAAGCAAACTCTCCCAATTTAAGACATTGATAATCCTGGGTATGATGATAAACTACATCCGGCAGCAAGGCCTCTGATCTGGATATTGAAGGGTGGTAGCATCTGTTACGGTCCCAGCTATTGGCAAATAATGAATCTCCAAACAAGAACAAAACACTATGAAAGTGTAGGAATACATTTTTGTG